TTTGGTCTTCAAGTAAAGGGTGAACACACCAAAACTGCGACACTTAGAAATTACTACCAGAAACAAACTAGCAGGCTTTGAAATTATTTTTTTTTTGTATTATATAACTTGGAAGTTTAGATGTTATTAAAATGTTAAAATATTAGTTATTATTTGCTCCATCTGCAAGTGATCGGTATTTTCATCGCACACGCGCCATCATGTTCTGCACGACTGCATCATCGACTTTACGCGATGCGCACAACTACTTTGTTTTGCCCTCTTCAATATTTTTCACTGTTTCACCTGTTTTCTGCAAGATTTCTTTGACAATTGACCAATATTCCCCAATAGGACGTGGCTCTGGGCTATTGGGTGGATTGCAGTCGTGAGGTACAAAATTGGTGTTATTTGCATTATACCACGGCAATGTGTCCTTGGCATAGTGGCAGGTTCCCACGTCCGCCTAGAACAGTGGCCTACTCCTTATCTGTTGATAAATGACACAAGACGCCTTTTGAGGCACTCATCCCGATAAACTTGATCATTCATTGTCCCGGATGGGAAAAAGGGCTGCTCTTACGGCCACAGGATCAAATAGCTTGCCAAACCATGTGGTTTTTTTGAAATTTGGACTTCATTTTCAGCTTACAACTTTCAGGGGCATCTTGACGACTTGCAGCAGTATAAAAATCATGACCTGCAATATATTTTGAATTCTTTTAGCAGTAGGTTTCGCAGTCCATAACAATGCAGTTGTATTTTTTAATTTAGAATTCATACAACTTCCGAATGCGGGTTTTCGCTGTTGAATTCCACTTTGCGCCTCGGTCTGGCGCTGTTTGAGCTGTAGAACATCTCAATGAAGCTTTCCGCTTTACCTTTTGTACGAAAAACTGCGATCTGCGTACGGATTTTGCAACATAACGGGACAAAATCTTCGGATTTCGCGAAAACGCACTGAGGACCTTCCGAGCACTGTTTTTATCACTTTGACCATGCTAACCCCCGCTCCCTGGTTATCTCGTAACTGCCAGGCCTTATTTGTACCGATTAAAACCCTGCAAACTGTCGAATAGTGCAATCTTTAATTTTTTAGCAATTTTACGTGTACTTAAGGCCGGCTCATTTATAAACTCGTGCAAAATGGTTTGTCTCGTTTCATTTTTAACTCAAATTTCTTCTACGTCCAACTAAGGTCATGTGGTCAGCTTATGGTATTTGAATTTCAAAATATTGAATTCGTTTTGGGTAAGTTATAAGCTTCCCAAAGTGTCGCAGTTTTGGTGTGTTCGCCCTTTAATTGCATTCTGAAGGTATGGTATAAAAAATGCAAGTGAAAATATTGAAAATTATTCAGGTAATTGCTGGCTGCCGATTTCATAAACCGTGCTTCGAGAAACCCCCTTTTAAAGTTTTTTCATGTTGTATAGGCGGCTCAGAGCACTCGGTTCAGAATGTTCGATATTTCAGAGCGAAAATATCTTTTGCATGCATACAAATTGTATTTCCATGTTCAAAATCAGATTTGTTGTAATTGTCGATGTCTTAGCTGGACGATTATTTAAATCTAAAAAACCAATTTAATAATCGCGTGAACAGTCACTAAAGTACCAATCGATTAACCGAACAATTTTAAAATCCTATATAAACAAATGTTACATAACATAATCAAAATTGCAATTTCAGTGAGTAAATAAAACTCCTCCACAAAGGTTTTTCAGGTTATTCAGCATTTTATTCAGGTAATACTTTCCATTTCCAGACAACAAATCGGTCAGGTACAGGAATAATTTTTAATTTCTATGAAACTGAAATATGTTGTTTGTTGGTCCAAATAAAGATAACAGTATTTTTTTTTGCTCGAAAAAATTATTGGCTTTTTTGTTTTTTTTTTTAGATAAAAAGCGATATTTTAGCATTTTTTTCAAATTCCCTAATCTAGTGAATTTCCACCATTTTTCACTAAAATGTTGGTAATATAAAAATAATAAATAATAACCGTTTGTGTATGTACTTCAAAAATTTATTTACAAAAATAAATAAAAAATCATCTCCAAAGAAAAAGTGCTACTAAGGATTCACCTAGAAAGCGCCTATTTTCTTGTGAAAAAGTATGAAAGAAAAAAATATATAGTTTTTGCATAATTTAACTTCGCAAAAATTTAAAAAAAAAATCAAAAATTTGTAAAACTAATGATGAAAAAATTATAGAAATTCAATAATTTTTAACAAAGTTATGGGCATTTGACAAAAAAATTTCCCCTGATTATAAGCCGTCCAAAAAATATTTTTTAACCAAAAAAAAATGCGGGTCTCATTATTTGAACCAACGCTACAACATATTTCAGTTTCATCGAAATTAAAAAACATTCCCGTACCTACCGGTTGTCTTGAAATGGAGAGCATCAAGTTTTATTTTATTTTTAATTTTTATTTTATGTTGTGAGATCTGAAATATATGTATTCCACAATCAGAACAACGACTTTCAACACATAATTTAATAAACATGACTGGATCATATCGACTATTGATTTGAAGCCGAATTTTTAAATTGGTGCAGATATTACTATTAATTATGCCTACTAGGGTATCCAACGGATCTAATCCGAGTCGCACTATCATAAAAAAGAAACGTGGATGATAAGATCCGTGCGGATGGAACCCGTCGGATACCGTAATATGCGCGAGAATCTCGAAAAACTATTAGCTGTTTATATTACTTATCGTTTATACAGTCTTGGTATTTTTCTTTTGTAATATCAATGTATTGCATGAAATAAACTTTACTTAAGTTTCAAAACTTATCAATTTGATTAAATTTCAAAAAGGCAATTATATTATATAACCACATAAATTCGTGTTCCCAAAAACTAATAAACACACGGGTCGAATCGTTGTGCGCTGAATGTACTACATATGTTTAAAACTTGCATGATTTACATTATATAGAAAAGAAAACTTACCCATTTGTATATTTGGATTTTGCATTCGAGGACCACCTCCTGGACCAACGCCAGGTCCATTAGCAGCCATTAAATGTGGACTGGGACCACGTAACATATGTTGTCCGACCATTCTGCCCATCATCGGTCCATTTTGTAGACCCTGCGGATGACCGGGTCCGCCACCTAAATGCATTCCTTGGTTAGGACCACCGACCGGACCCATATTTCCAACAGGTCCCACACCGCCTGGCCCTGCGCTCATCATACCGCCAGCTCCAGCGCCTATTTGTTGTTTCAATGTGTTCACCATTCCCGCATTGCCACCAAGACCACCCAAATTACTATTGGTGATCACCATACCTCCAATATTGCCTTGAGCAATTGTATTCATGCCTAAAGAGAAAAAATTATTATTTTGATTTTGAAGTGCATATAGTAAAATATTGTAACCAAAGTGAAATTCTATTATCCTATTTTCATAGTTTATTATCTACATGTTTTTGAATAATTAGATATAGTAAATAGTTTCAAATATATTTTAAAATGCTTATATGCTCCTATTAAATTAAGCTTTAAATGAGAAGAGTGTAAAGTAATTTTTTCTACTTTCCTTTGTTTTAGATATTAAAAACGACAAATACATTTGAAATATATGAGTTGAAATTTTCTCAGTAAATATGTGTGTTTGCTTACTAAACCAATAAGGGGTTTTAAATTGATATAAGAATATAAGATATATGAAAGTCTAATCGCTTACCGGGCATCGTATTCATTCCTTGAGCGCCATTATTAGAAATAGACATCGCCATCGAATTGACCATGCCCATTTGACCACCAACTACTTGCATGCCAGCTGCGTTTGGTGATTGCAAGTTAGGTGATTTACTACCCAATTGGTTCATTCCAGCTCCGCCCATAGGATTACCTATCATACCCATGTTCTTGTTACCCTGTAACGAGATGATATTATAATTTTTGCTGATGAGATCTGATAAGCATTAGTATTACTTGTTGCTGCAATAATTGTTGCAGATGTTGATGATGTTGCATTTGACGTAAAGGATTACCGCCGACTTGATTGCCGCCCACACCAGTGGAATCTTCGCCGCCACCATTAATTTGCGGTCCACCTGGCCCAGGGCCTTGTGCAGGTGGTTTATTAGGACCGCCAACCACATTGACACCAAGGCCAGATCCTGGACCGCCAGGTCCTCCACCACTGCTAAGAGGATCTGGCCAATTGCTGTTACCAGTAACAAGTTCATCTGGCAGATCATCTTCTAAAACGGAGACGTAGTCCGCTGGAAAAAATAAAACAAATTAAAAAATAATACAACTTGTATACAGTTTTCAATCATCTTACTCGGATCCATTTTAGTCCGCTTTTGCGGAGGTTCATCCATATGATCTGCCATCATTCAGACGTCGTTGTTATGCTTCTTGTTTTGGTATTGAATAGCCTTATACGCGTATTATTATACGCACTTTTTCACTTGGTATAGGTATAGATGGGTTAGCTTATTTGCTGTTACAATTGTTATAAATTTTGCAATGAAAAGTCAAGTTTATTTGTAATAGGTTAATGTTGAAAATAGATGAGTTTGACAAAGTTTGCAAACGCCGCTACATTTAGTGGGGGGACATAAGACTTTGCCACGAATTGTTTACTTATTTTCAAAACACCGCCACTTGTCACTGTTGCAGATAGTTGCGCTGCACCAGGGGTGACATTAGAAGAAAGCTTTACAACTTTCCAAGCCTGGGTACCTTGCTTGATTCGGCTGGTTTTCTGAATATTTATTAGAAATGGCTGCACTCTTTGAAATCGCTTCCACGCAATTACAAAATTTTCCAACTGAATTAAAGCGTTTTTGCCGATTACGATCGAGTTCATTTTGTGTCAGAAGTCGCAAAGGTAGGCCGACCACTTTCGGCTTTTTATACCTTTTATTATAGTATACTTTCTATAGTTCTTCTCGCTTAAGGTGAATTGTTTGTGTTTCTTTTTTTTTTAGTTATTGATGTAAATTTGTAAGCTAACAAATTCCCAGTTCACATATATCTCGTTCGTTTGTTTATTGGCACTTGACACTTTCCTGCTTTTGCAGTGATCGTTCAATCACCATTTTAAACGCCGACGATTATAACCATCAACATCTTTCGAATCAAACATTGTTTTTCTTCGAGTACATGTTTTTTGCGCCTTTTTTTTGCATTAATAAATTTTCCAACGATATTTAATTGCACATCAACTGTAAATGAAGTAGAAGAAAGATTTTAGAATTTTTATATATCTATTTAATTAGAATCATTGATTTCGTAATTATTTTCATGTCCATATGATTTAAATTCGGAAATTGGTCTATTTGTTTGTTTCGATGCTTGATGCAGTAAGAGAACATAGTGAGAGTTGACTCCTTGGTTTAATTTTGCTTTTACGTACACTAATTTTTCATATTTTTAGTGTATTAATTTCGTAATTTTACCAAGTTATTTTGTAAATATATGGCAGTGATCTCGCCCAATAAAATTTCCTCGAAATAATCAACTTAAAATGATCAGAGCTAAATGACAAACGGCAAAGATTTTCTCTTCGACTCGTTCACCTTTCTTTTCAGCCGACTGTCGACTGCCCGTTCACACTTTCGTGCCAATTATTCGTTCATTCCATCAAATAAGCGATCATTAATTTGTCGCTAGTTGAAGCGTATACATATGAACGCTATTTCATTTAATGCGAGAATAGGACAAACATATTGGCGGTGATAACTCTTTGGTTTAACAAACCGCACTCATTCGTTTCTTTCTTAACCACTCGTTGCTTTTCTACTGACGGACTTTTGGCTCTACAAGACTCGACTATATGCTAACTTGTTCCTTCACAAACCGAGCGATTCACTCACAAAACAGTGTACGGAACGCGAATTGTCAGTGTGTTTCTCGCACCTATACACTTGCATGGTGACCGCCTCGGCCAACGAGTGCGAGCAGTATTGGAAAAAGAAAGAAAAACAGACAAGCAATGACTGAAATTTTTTGTCGCTAGTTTTCACGTCGTATCGAAAATTTCTATTTGCAGAATTTTTGTTTTATAAAATTTTTATGATTAGAAAAAATCGCAAAAATGTTTGGAAAAAAACCGAAATTACAGAAAAAAATGTATATTATTACAAAAAAAATTTGGACATTTCGCTCACTTTAGATATTTGTTGAAAACATTGTATTTTGCCGGGCAAACTTTTTTCAATTAAAGTTCGTTATTTTTTATTATTTTGGTTTTTATCTATATAATTTTTACATTTCTCTTGGATTTTTGACAATTTTTCAAATTCTTTTCGCAACAATAAAACTAAAATTCAGTCGGTTTGCTCCGCAGCAGTAAAAACTCAACTGAATTCGCGAACGAGTAACGACAGAACTAGGAAGAAAGACTGAAATTTTAAGTCGAGTGCGATTTTAGGAGAGTCGATGAACAGCGCGATGCAAATGTTGCCGGCCCTATACGATTTGTCCCGGACAAAGAGTTGAGGGATTTTTCTTGCATACCACCTTGATCGATTGCCATGAAAAAGTTTAAGTGCCAGTTATCTTTATACCATAAAGACCCATAGTTATAGTAAATAAAGTCTTAAAGTTAATTTTACCTTTTTGTCAAATTTTCAGTGGGCTATCTGTCAAAACCGTTGCAAATAATTTTGGGGTCGACTTTATTTTGACTATAACTACTATGGCCTGTGTTGTGGATTAGTTGCTCCAATAGTAAAATAAAAAAATAAAGGAAATGCAATTTTACTTCAAAGTTTATTTATTTATGAAAAAAACCTAACCTCAAAATTTCAAATCTTAAATTTATTTTAATTAACCCAATGGAGCGTATGAAAAAAAAACCAAGCAATTGCTTTTTCTTAAAATTTCAGATCTTTGTCTTAAATTTATTTGAACAAAACAAGCAAAAGTTCTGAAGTTTTAAGAAGTAATTGCTTAATTTTTATTGATACTGCCCAAAATTTTCTATATAATTTTTTATCTGCTCGAGATCTTTAAGATGACCCCAATAAGGGACAGAAAAAAGCCCAAGCACCGAAACTACAAATTTTCAATTATTGGCACCACTTCTCATCGTAAAGCAAGTGTAGAAAAAATTGATACAAACTTCGGATATATTCGGTTCATGAACAATGACGACCCGATGGCTAAAAGAGACAGTATTTGAGTAATAAGCAACGAGTATGCCAGTGGAACATTCACACACATTTCACAGCTATAGTCGATTCTTCTAACGCATTTCTCCCAAATTCGCACTCGATTTATTTTTATCACTTTACTCTTTCTCTATCTACCTTTTCGATTTTGACATAAATAAGTGAACAGCGAGTATCAAGATACGAATTTTTATGCATATACTCGCTTGTACACACACAGCGAACGTTTCCGAATCGTATGAGCAGTAAATCAACGAGTTTTAGAAGATATTTATAATGCTATTAATACACTTAATTACCCCATTTCGATGCAGTTAACGCATATTAAAATGCGTAAAATACACTGCAGAATATATTTAAGTCAAATTATTTTCGTCGATCAGAATAAAGTTTCACACAAATAATATTCATAGTTCTTGGGCATAGCAACGAGCTGCGAAAAATCACGACGAATTATGTATAAAGATGCACTCACGCTTACGAACTCGCCCGAGAGAAAATCGAACCGAAATCGTAACAGAGCGCGACAAGAAATACCAATATTTTTCGAGTTCTTTCTACTTAAGAATTCACATATTATTTAAGCTATACGCTGTTTACATAAAATGCGCCAAATAATTATTATTTTAATAGATTTGAACGTGTATTTAATTCTATTTATCTGAGCACTATCGCCACTTACACTGCAATGCCACGACCATGTTCGCGCACACACTAACAAAATGGCGGATCTACCCAATGGCCCTGCTAGCCACAAGTAAAACAGAGATGTCCATATAAGTATAAATCACAAGAGTTGCCACACTTGCAACAAAATTGATGCGTTAAAACTAAAAGTGAACTGTAAATGAATTTGAAATAATGCTTAGTTGATTTTTTAATGAAATTTTAATAGAATCCTAACAAGCACTTCTGTAAGAGTACAACTCCACAACAAGCTATTCAGACTTTCAGCAATGGCTGAATTATGTAGCTGAAAGTCTGAGAAGATCTTTGTGGAATTGTACCTTAAGTGTTTTGTAAAGTAACTTAAAGTAAGCGTGCTATATTAAATACGTGTTTTTAGTATTAAGTTTATTTAAAGTTTTTCAATTTAACCTTGCGTTGACACCGAATATTTATAAATCACTTGACTTTAAAAGTAAAATGCTAGTATTTACGATAAAACCAAGAAAAAATACTTTCCTTTTAAAACATATAAATTTATATTCATACGCTTATAAATAAGGTTCCGTTTCGATTATATTACGCCTTTTTTAAGCGTTTTATAAGTCAAGAATAATCGTTGTTTAAAAAATCTACTCTAAGTTTATTTTGCTTGTTGGGATTAAACAAAGTCTCACTTTTATACATAGTGCGCAACATAAGGATAAGGTCGCCATGTCTCTCGTTTAATAATATAGAGATGTAACTCAAAACTTACGTTTTTGGAGATTTAATTATGCACTTAATAAGGTTGATAAGTAGAATATGTTCAGTCTAACAGATAATCAAACTTCACAAATATGGCGAAGATATATGTCTTTCTCAAAAAATTTTTATTTTGAAATACTTCGTTATATTATAAAACGTGCGGTGTATTTGTAAGTGTTGACTATTTATTTAGGTTTTTATATTAAGTTTTAATAATTCCTTATAAAAATATAGTTCATTCTATAATAAAAACCATATAAATCCAAATCTTCAAATTTTGTACAGAATTAAAAAAAACAAAAAGGTTTCACTAAAATTTCACACTTTTTAGCCAGAGCTTTAAGAAAAGTAGTATAATAAAGTGGAATTTCGAACTGGCTACAAAATATCGTTGATTTTTGCCATTTTTTGTTTATAAAAATTGTGGAAATGTGTAAAATTTTAATCAATCTTTGTTGACTTTATTTTTGTACAAAGTTTGAAAATGTATTTATAGGGTCTTTGATATAGAATGAGTTATGTTGTCATAAAAAAAATAATTAAAATAAATAATACAAAATAAATGGTCAAAACTTATCAATATAGGGTGAACCATATCATTATGTCGACCACGATATCTATGCATATTATATGTTTAGCTTGAATAAAGTTTTGTTTTCGTTCGAGAAAAAAGTTTGCGCTTTCCCAATGCAAGTGTGCACAGTATGTATATGAGTTCTACTGGCAACACTTAAAATTCTATTTACAAATGACCACCCTGTGGGAAAGTGTTAGGGCCGGTTGTTCGCTGTCTGATTAGCACTAATCGGAGATAGAAGCTCTGGTTAAATGCAACGACTGCTTTATCCATCATATGTTATAAGCATGATGTCGATAACGTCGATAATGATGTTTATCCGGCAAGTAGTGATAACCCGACATTGAACAACCGGCCCTTAAAAGTTCTCCCATTTTATGCATGATGCAATAATACAAGGTGGTATCAGTTGTGACAGCTCGATTTGACACTGCCTTAGCTCAGTAGAATAAGAAGAAAAACGGGAAGAAATGAATCCCTATTTGAGGGAAAAATATAAAATTTAATATTTTCTTCTAAAGAAAATTTGCTTTTTTATAGTATATTCGTAATGAAATGAAATGAAATAAAATAAAATAAAGTAAAATACATTTTTGAGAAAACAAAATGTGTATACTGAGAAAAAATGAAAAAAAAATTCAACTATTAGGCAAAGAATTGTAAAAGAAGTAATACTGTTTCACTTAAGGCAGTCAATTAGAGCGAGAAGTTGCCATCTGATACCACCTATTATTGCATCATGCATTTTATGTGTTTCCTTGCAACAAAGCAGAAAACCGGATACGAAATTAGATCTAATTGACGCAAGAAGTGGGAAATAAAACGCTTCCAGTGCCATCTAGTTGTCATTGAATTGCAGGGTGACAAGTTTAAATTTTTCCAAACTACATTAAATTACAGTGGCTCCTACCTTGGTTAAGCGGTCAGTCGAGACCACCACCGGCAAACAATAAAACATTCATCCGAAGATATTTTTTGTACACTGCGCGCCCCATTTATAGTTAAAATCTATGTATTTTCTTCTTTTACGTGTTCGGACTCTTCAAACTCGATTCAGAACTAAATCGCTTAAAAAATCGCCCAAAAACAAATTTTCGATACTAGATTTGCATTATTTATTTCGCTTTCGACATTAATTGAATGACTTAAATAATTTCTATACACACAAAAATAAGAACACGAGGCAAAGTAAGGATACACATTTAGATTCTACCTTATACAAATTTCTTTCTACACAAATTTTAATTAACAACTTAAATTAAGTTCTGCATCCACCAAGTTTTACATCCATGAATCAAAATAAAACGAAGTTACTTTATTGACTAATTTCTATGATCGAGTTTATTTTTATGACTGAGATTTTGCTTTAAATTTTTTACTGAAACTGGGGTGAGAGGGGCAGGAAATGAGTGAAAAAACGGAAGAGATATGAAGTCAAGCGGAGTAGAGGAGTCGATTTCCAATTTTTTCAAAAGCCTAAGTAAATTTAATCTGATCCGAGCTTGGGTCCAAACACTGGTAGGGAACGATTTTTTTTTTTAATTTTGAC